CTGCTGAATAAAGTCAAGGAAAAATTAACTCCTCGGGACTCTCTATGCAGTAAATTGGAGCTAAAGTCCCTGTTTTAACTTTCAGCTTCATGCACAACAGCCAATGAATATACCGAAGGCTGAAGTGCCGAGTCCGCACCTTGACGATTTAGGCCTAGTTTTCACTCAGTTGGGGTGGCAGGACAGGGGGATTTTCTGCTGCGGAAGCGACACGAAGGAGAGCACCCTACCTAAACGATGCACCGCGTGCACAATCGTGGAGCCGCTGCCGATGCCAAGGACTTGGTTGTTCTGAAAATCAGAGAGACAGGAGAGAGCTGTTACAGGGGGCCTGGTCTCTTCTGCTTTTCCCAATAGACTCTATGAGAAGAGTCTACTGGAGCCTTGCCCAGAGGTACCCTGGATCCCAATGTATTTGCACACCAGGTAAGAAAGAAATGTGCTGCTCCAGCAAGGGCAGAACTACTTTCTAGTTTTAGCTGGGCTTGTTAAGGGATTTTAAGCAACTCGCCCACTCCTTAAAGGACACGTGCTTATTAAATACTGCTACAGTCCAAGCTCTCTCCAGGCTGTTCAACATATGCTTGCTACCAACACAGGAAGTTGGAATTCCAGCTAATCCTTGAGGGAGCAGGAAAAGTTCAGCTCAAAGGGCCTAACTTTCCTCCCCCATGACGGCTTAATGCAAAGGAAGTCTGGGAAATACTTCCCATATCCTCAGGCACACAGGGGCAGCACCTCAGAGCGCAGCCCACGGACACTTCCTCACAGCAACATCCCCCTTGGAAAGGGGCAGCCCAGGTTGCAAGCTCCAGCCGAGGCTTTTCCTCTTGGAAGCAGGAGAGGAGCAGCCCCTAGAGCGCAGCAGGGCTGGAAGCTCCAGAGGATCTCACAGAGAAGGAAGCTGGAACAGCATCGCGATAACATCTCCCAAGGAGGCCGTGCAGGAAAAGGGCCTGTTCGCTGCCCGCGGGTTTGTTAGTAAACAGGTCGTGGCCGCAGCGGCCAGGGCAAAGCAGAGCCAGGGGCTGC